AAATCTGTTGCATTATGTAAATAAGATCTAAAGAAATAAAACAAATTATAAAATAAAAAAATACAATAATTATTTTACACAAGTTTTGATTGTTTAACCATATTATCAAATAATCTTGTTGCTTTTTCACTTGGTTCTTCATCATCAACAATTTCCAAATGTGAATGTGTTGGTAAACAATTATTAAGTTTACTTTGTAATTGTATTAATATACTCATTTCAACATTATATTGTTCAAATGATGGTAATGATTCATCAATTGAATACATTGAACAAACACGTTGTTGTTGTTCAACAATACGTTCAAATAAAACATGTTGATTATCAAGATCATTCTGTTCTTCATTTTCATTGATTCTATTCACATTATTTTGAACATTCGCTATGTTTAATGTTTGTCCTAATAATTTTTGTAATCGTATTAATTTATTCATTTCAGCATTATATTCATCAAGCATTACATCAATTGGAAGAAACTACAATAATAATACAAAAAGAAAATAGCCATTAACATAGGATTAAAATGTGAAATACGATGTAGATGTTGGTAGTAATTATACAAAGATTATTTTAATTCTATTTATTTTAGAACACTTTTCTTCATCATACCTTTACTTAATCCTTCGGAAATGCAATAAAGAAGTAGTTCATATATTAGCATGAAATTTTATTTATATACAGTATTTTTATTGTATATCAACAACGTCTGTTACACACAGAGATGTCCATCGCGGCGCTGCCGCTGCCGCTGCCGCGGTGGCGGCGGGTTTTTTAAAAAATCACCGCGGCAGTGGCAGGTTTTTTAAAAAGTCATCGCGGCAGGATTTTTCTTGGAGGACATTGAAAAACTATGAATTTAATAGAATTTCAGGATTTACAAATGAAACGCCCTGATATTGAATAAATCTGATGGACTAGTACCCATATCTCTGGTCAAATATAGTCACAGCAGTGAAATTAGAAACACTTTTTTGAAAACCGTCGCGGCACGTTTATTTTAGAATTCATCGCGGCAGCAGCGCGGCAGCGTTTCTTTTATAAGTCATCGCGGTGCGGCAGCGTCGCGGCAACATTTTTTTATAAACCGTCGCGGCGCGGCAGCGGCAGATTTTCAGCCGCGATGAACATCTCTGGTTATACAGGAGAATGATCTGAATCTTTACTCATATCCTTCAATATTCATTTGACATTGTATTTTATAAAAAAAAAAGTTCTTAAAAACAATTTTTTGTTTTTTTACCCGATCTGTATATGGATTAAATTTAAGTAATTTTGTTGCTAGTTGTATAGCATGTTTTCTTACAATACACGATGTATCATTCATTCTTTCTAATGTTGCTTGTGTTAAATGACAATAAAATTTAATTGGAATTAATTTTGATTCAACTAAATTCATACATAATCCAATAGCATGTGATCGTACATGAACATTACAATCAAGAAAATATTGATCAATTATTAAAAAAAATAATTCACCACGTAATTCTTTATATTGTGATAATGATGAACAATAACGAATTATATTTACACAAACATTTAATAAACAATTACGCATTTGTAAACAATCACTATCAAATAAATCTAATAAACGATTAATATAAATTATTAAATGATCAGATATATGAATTGATAATTCATCAAGTAATTTAGCCATTGTACGAGAACTATTTGGTTCAGTTTGAGTATTTGATATAGAAGTATTTGAACGACATGAATGATTTGATATAGATGATTGAATTATTGAAGGTGATAAACAAATATGACAAATATCGCTATAATAAATAATATAAGTTATTTTCTTTTCTTATTTTATTGCTAAGTAAAATTTTCTTACTTAATAATTCTTTCTAATAAAGTATCCGTTCGAAAATGTTTTACATGACATATAATCGCAGCTGAATAAATTGTTGCTGTATGTTCTTGAATTTGTAACATTTGAATTATTTTCATACTCGAATCTAAGATATGAAATTATTCATTTCGAAATTGAAATATATATATTTATATGTAAATGTATCTCATATCGATGTTACTATTTAATTATAATCAATTTTTCTCAATAACAAATAGAGAATTCTATTTTGAATAGACAAGAGTTTCTAGATGATACTATTTAAAGCAGCAAGAATTTATTTTAGAAGCCAATCAGGTAGTGTGCTTGTTTTACATAAGGTTCTCTATATTATTTTTATACTAAAAATCTACAAATTAATAATCAAAGAACTTTTATCTATGCAAAATAATGAGCAATCAAAGCCAAAGATTCAGAAAACGGGTTAGATTTCGAAAATTCATCAATAATGGAATGAATTTCATATCTAAACATCTATTAATATATACCATTGCTAATTCATGAAAACCTTTTTTTTTCTCATCATATTATCCTTTGAACTTACTTATTTTTTGAAAAAAAATACTTATAGAAGGAGATACTTTTTATCTAAAAAAATATTTAAATCAGTGTTAAACAAAGCAATCTTCAAAATACAATTTTTATTATTTCACCAGTCGAATCTGCTGTATTATTTTATTTTGAATATTTCAAATTTTTATATATTTTTGAAGTATACCATCTATTAATCAAATAAGTGATTAATGTCCTTTTCGAATAAGTAGCTATTAGGCATTTGAAAGTTTTACTAAGTATTAAAATTGCACTTGAACAACTGCAGCTGACATTGCTTGGTGATATTTTCTGGAGTTTGAAAATTTTAATTCATGTTCACAAACATTTGTTAAATAGACTCTCGAAAAAACTTCTTGATTACTTTTATTTCGTGAAATAGTGACAATCATCAGACTGTTGTGCTCCTAGTGTCTTTAGGAATTAACTCACGAAATTCTATATAATGTATTTATAGTATTTTCTTTATTCATACTGTTAAAATTAAGTCTCTAAATGAAAAATTGCTCTGTTTTTTAAAGATTTCATATAATGTTAAAAAATTGTTCTACTCGTTTTTGAATATATATACTCTTCAGCTAATCAGTATATATTCTCCTAAAAAAAAAGTTTTAATCAACTTAATCGCTATCGTTTATGAAATAACGGACTTTAGTGAAAGTAGTCTTTACCCTTCCGTACAATAGAAGATCTTGGGTCTTCTACTGTAGGGGGAAGCTTTACTTATCATTTATTGTTATCACATTTGATTCATTATTCAGATAAGTACTCTTCCATCTATACGTGATTAAAAATAAATTTTCTCGAGACTCATGAATCATTCTATTCTATTTTAATCTATTCGATGATAAATGATGAGCATTTTTGTTTTAAAAGAAAAAGGTGTATAAACATTATATCATTCGTGTAAAGATTTTCCTCTCTATCTTCTTGATTTTCTTAATTTACCTTCTTCAATACGAAATAGTCCAATACTTAATGCTAATATAAATGATAAATAATCTTTCATTGTTCTTGCTCGTGATGAAAATTGATTATTTCGAATAATTGTTAAGCATACATCTACCATTGTACTAAAATATTTATTAAACAATATGATGAAAAAACATAAATAAATCATTATCTTACTTTCCAATTTCTTGGTCTTCTAATCTTTCAGTTTCATGCCAAAATTGACGAAGATCAAGTTTAATAAAATTAGTAAATAAATAAAGTATTTCATCACGTTCATTCATATACCAATCAATATGAAAATTTTGATCAGATCGTTTTTGTTTTTTATTATTTGGTGTTCCAATATGTTGTTGTTGTTGATCATTATTCATAATTAAATGTTCAAGTACAAGTAAATATCGACATAGAAGATCTAATGAAAAAAGAATCATTTGACGATAAATTTCATCAGCATTAATTTGTTGTTGAGAACTAATTGATTGTATTTCATCTTGTATGACTAAAAACAAAAGTACTTTCATTTTATTAAAATATATTTTAGAATTTATTCTATATTTAATAGAATAATAAGTATCAAAAGCTAGAGTAAAGATTTTCTAGATACTTTGACTCTCATTATACAGTCCTGAACAAAAGTTATCATCCCTGATGAAATGCTACTATTGCTGATATTTTGAATGCAAACGTACGGCAATAAACCTAGATCGTAAGCACAAATTCGATCTTTCCCATGGCACACGCATATATAACTTTCTTACTCGAAAACCGATTTCTTTGCTCCAAAATGATTTAATATGATCTAGAAAAGTATTTTTCAGAAGACAAAAAAACCATTGTTGCGAAAAATTTTTTTTCCTCAAAATTGTTTTGCACTATATATCATTCGATGCAGTTTTATGTACTGATGTTGATGATAATATTTTTGTCGATTAGAAGCTTTTTGCAAAGCCAGAAAAACTCAAGTTTTTTGAAAAATTGTTGTGTAGTCCAAGGCAGCAACGATTAGAGATTTCGATTTTCAAACTAACTTTTGAGTAACTAGTTTTTCAATAGCTTTAAGGAGTATTTAAAAAAAAAGTTATCTATACCATTCGATAGACTCTATTATGAAGTATACTTGAATCTTGAAAATGTATAATTTTTCTTTCTAAGTGAATGTCTATCTGCAGGCACATTGCGAGGAAGAAGAACAACTACCTTTGTGCAGAACTATTATTTTACAAATTTTTCAAGCACTTTTATCGTTCGACTAAATTAGAAATTAATATCATTTAGATTATTTACCATCTTTGAGAAGACCACCAAATACTTTTCGAACTTCATGTGATCGTTCGACATGCCTAAAAATGAATGAAATTTATTATTATTATTTTTTTTTCTGGTAAATGTATAATACATACACAATAAGATCATCGATAGTCGTATGTAGCTTTGAGAGACAATGTGAAGGATTATTATGTTTATTCAATTGACATTCTATTATATAAATTAGCAAATGAAATAAGATTCTCTAGTTATATTAAAATTAACCTTTTAATAATACGTTTAATTCTTCCTTGCTAATGCCCATGATTAGTTTGTTTTTTTTAATTTTTACATCTAAAATTAAATAAAAGCGCCATTATCATTGTCTATAATTTTGATGGAAAATGAAAATAATGAGCAAAAAGATACTACTCAAACTGTACACTTATCAAAGGAAGAACAACAATCAAAATCTGAAGAGTATAGTATATTCATTGAAAATCTGAAACAGTACATATTTTGTTTTTTTCTTAGAACGAAAGTAAAAACTAAACGACATTCAAGTTTATCGATATCTTTATCAAATAAAATTGATAATAAAGAAATATCGACAGTATCTTCTCAATCTATGTGTCATGTAATTTATTTTGGATGTGAACAACATTCAGGAAATGAATTATGGGATACATCTTATTTTCTTTCATTACTTTTTGAACTTTTAGATGAATTTAAAAATAATTCAAATGAAGAATCTCGTCTTGCTGCATTTATTCTATGTCGTCTTAATGAAATTAAATTACATTTACAAATACCAATTAAATTAGTTATTCAAATATTAAAATATTTTAATAATGTTCGATTAAAAATTCTTGTTTTACTTGAACTTTTAAATACATGTGAAACAATTGATTGTTCTCAAGCACTTATATTATTATGGGAATTTTCATCTTATGGTTATATGATACTTTTTTATGTCTTAGATCGAATTAAATTTTCGATTATCAATAAAGATATCGAATGGAAATCATTGTTAACTATATTTGAACCACTTGAAAATAAAAAACATGCAGCTTATATTGTATTAGATAAAACAAATTTTTACAAACCAAATAAAGCAGTAATTGTTTTTGGTTCGAAAAGACTTGAACGCTATTTTTGATTGATTTTGACCGTTTATCCATATTGACATCTTCTTTATGTTTCTCGAACTTTTTATTGGACTATATTATAGTACTATATGCGTTAATGTATAATGATAGATGTCAGTAATGTGTGATCATTATTATATTAATTAATTAATAATTTTAAACATGTAAATAAATCAATCTTCATGAGTAATGATTTTTATTAGTCATCAAAAACATAAAATTGATCTATAGGTAACTTTTATAAAGAAAAAGTAATAATAAGCCTTACATGAGTTATATTCTCTAAATTTAACAATTGATATCCTTTGATAAAAGTAAAACATTCCGACCTGATATCTAATATTGTGATTAAAATAATTTAACAGAACTTTTCTTTTTAGATGCAAAGAGTATTTTATTGTTCAAAGTAAAAAGTCAATAGATCAAGCGTAGTAACTAATTTGTCAAAACAAATATTTACGATCGACTTGTCAATGTTTTTGTAGGATATTCTTTTTTTTGAATTAATCTTGCAATTGGTTTTAATCCCTTTGATTAGCTGACATTTTTATAATTTTGAATACATTCACTGTTTAACACATCGCTGAGTTTCAAGTTTCACAGTCATATTTGAACAATGCATAGAATTCGATGATTTTGCAATTAATCGTGAACATAAAAAATCATTAAAAAGTTATGTAAATCGTCAAAATCGGACACAAGTCATGAAGTCGATCATTTCATCTTTGTCTTATCTGTTATACAGATTAAAAATGAGAGTATCAGAATATATTTGTTAGTTATTCACAAAGTCTTCGATCCATTTTGCTTTATATATAGGTTTTAATCGGAGATTATGACTTCACTCGGATTTCTACATAAATACGTTGCTGTTCTCATACATCTAAATTGACAAATAAAAAGGTTGAAACTGAGAAAAATAATATACTTTCATGGAAATTTATTTATTATCTTGTTCTCTAACACGTTCATCTCCATATTTATGTTTTTGAGGACAACAAAATTAATGATGGTTAAAGAAAACATTGATGAGTTAACTCTTTAGTTATGAAAATCATATATATACAAACTTTGCTTTTATGCAGATTATAACTTTGACAATTTTCTCTCTTTTTCTTATAGTTTTAATATCACATCAGCATTATATGATACCACTGTATATGTATATTAAGTGGAAAGACGGAGTTGTGAACTTAGAGACCTATGAAAATCTATAGACTCTCGATGCCCAATATCATTCAAAGCTCTATTAAACCAAGCAGAAATTGGAATTCTAGAACCATTGTCGTTCTAGAAAGTTGCAATTACTACTAAAGCTTCTAATATTATTAAAGATCAGACGCTCAACACATTTAGATCTATATTATTATATGAAACAACATGGTTTAGGGCACCTCTACTTATACATAGATATTTGATTTCCAGCTTCTATGAACAAACATACATTTTTTGTCGTCTTCAAAAAACTACTAACTAACTTATGTATAATAAAGATTGAGCAAACAGATCTCACAAAATTGAAATGTCGTGTCTGGCTTGTATGTCTATTGATAATCATGTGATAAATAGGCGGTTTCAGTGCTCAGTGTGACTATCTCTACTTTATACAATATAATATTTATAAAACTCTTCACTTTTGTTATCACGACCATTTTTTGATCTTGCTGAAGACAAAACGATAGTAGATTAAGATGCTTAAGAATGAATTTCTTTTTTTTTTTTTATAAATCTGTATCTGAAATTTATCTAGTTTCCAAAAAATAAGAAAAATAATCATCTAATAATATTAATTTTGACTACCGAACACACCTTTATCCACAATAAAATAATTACATCGATTCATTCTTGGTATATGATAACAATAATCAACTGATAATGAACGTAAATGAACTACGTTTGTTCTAATACTCGTTGATGCTTTTTGTTCATCGAAGACGATTTGTGATTGTTGAGAATCTGGATGATGTTCTTCAATGTTTCCAGTTTTACTCAGTTTTATACGACAATGAACCAGAAATGCCCAAGTAAGGCCTAATGCTGGACATAATGTCATTGATGGAGGTAATAAAGAACAATCAAATTGTTGACTAAATTGAGTTTGTACCTAAAACGAGAAACGATATTATTAAAAATTAAAAGAACGATTTTTTATTATATATATATACTTGATTAACACACACAATAGCAAGATTATATCGATGACAAAGTGTATGCATAGCAAATCCAAAATATTGTAGAGTCGTTGCTTTCATATGATGTTCAAATAAAATATCTTCAGAACGAAAGAGAGCAGCTAATGAATCAATAATAATTAATCGAATAGTTGGTTCACGGCTAAGTAAAAGTGGTAGTCGATCAATAAGTGTTATTTCTAAATGACGCTAATACAAAAATGATATTTAAAATATATTTCGAAATAAAAAAAAAATATATACAAACATAATGTCGAATAATATCAAGATAAATATTATCAAAAAATTTTTGTTGTAAACATCGAGCATCAGCTATATTAAATGGTTTATCAGTTTTTGCACGATAATAAGAAATATGTCTTAGTCGTTTATCAATTTTTTCAATTTGAGATTCAGTATTGATATAGACTACTTCTATAAGAAAAAAAAATCAATATAAAAAATAGAAATAAAAATAAAAATATGTTAAAACTTACTAGCCTCTTGTCCTCGAGCTCGAAATGTTCGTTGAACTTCTAGCGACAATTGAATACATAATTGAGTTTTTCCACATCCACTTTCACCGTACAATTCAGTTATTTGACCAAGTCGAATTCCACCATCAAGTGTTTTATCAATGATTGGACAACCTGTTGAAAATGTTGTTATCAAATCACGTTCATTTTCAATCATTTGCCAAACTAAATTGCAAATAATTTCATATTTAAATAAAAGAATTTTTAATTATATATGAAACAAACCCGACATTTGTCGTCTTGTAAACGGATAAAATGCGTTCGAAATACATTTTAATGCAATATCAATTTCTGATATTCCCATTCGAGTTGTACGTATTAATTCGTCTGGATCCAATTCCAGAAAACTTTGTAAAGGACACTTAGTACCATAAGCTAAACATATGATTTATAGATATAGATATAGATATATATGTGTATAGCAAATAACTTATATATTAAATAATCAACCTCGATAAAGTTTTCCTTCAACAGTCGGTGGTAAATCAATATCATTCAAAGTGAGTGGCATATTTCATATCTATAGAAACAAAATTGAATCCATATTTACTTCTGGCAAATGATAAACTTTATGTTTTTTTTTTTGCGAAGAGTGAAAATAAATATGTAATGTTTGACATGAATATACCTGTTAAAACAATGATCATCATGTTTACAAAAAGAAAAAAAAAAGGAAAAAACATAAAAGCAATAAACAATAAAGCATGTTTCTCTATATATACGTTTGTATACAAGAAAAAAAAAAATTAAAACGAATGGCACAAATCTTTCTTCATCGTATTTCATTCAACAACGACTGATTTCTTCGAATTTTCTTCGACAATTAATAATTTTTTATGAAGATCATCGTCGAGTTCTTCAATATTATCAATAGTATTGTCAATATCTTCATCAGTTGTGTGATCAATATGAAATTTGTCTATCTTAACATCTGTAGTTACACCAATATCATCATCATCATCATCGTCTTCATCAATTGATACAGCATCGTGTTGTTGAATTTCCTAAAAAATAAAAAATAAAAAAATTATATTTTATTTTTCATACAAAATTGATTATTTTTAAGAAAGCCATGCAAATTGAATCAGCATGCGAATAAGAGCGTAATCGTAAAGTTGATAGTCTTTTTTTTTTCCATTCTTTTTTTTTTTTTGTCATGCTCATATGATCATACCTGAGCTGTAAGCCGAACTGCTAATTCCTCTCTAAATTTTTCTTTTGCCCATTCCAAAAAATGAGCTGTTTCATATGTCGTCGGCTGATAGATAATATTAATTATTTTTCTTATTAAAAAGAACACAACAATAAATAAATATAATAATACATACTTCTTTATTTGACGATAATAATTCACTTTCGTTATGATCATTTTCTATTGCTAATTGTTTTTCTACAGCTTCTTCTAATTTTAATTGTTGTTGAAGTTGATCAAGTGATTCAATAATATTACCTTAAAAAATTTATCATAGAAAAACATAATTTGTACATTTTTAAAAATTTTCTTCTTACTATCTGTTGTTGATACATTCGATGGTGGACTAATAACATCATGTGTTGATATATTATTTTCTTCATCATCTAATATTGATTCTTTTAAATGTATACTTGTTGATAATGAACTATTTCCACTATCATCTACTGTTGTTGTTGTTGTTGTTGTTGTTGTTGGTTGAGAATCAATATTAACTATTAATTGATTTGTTCCTATTAATTCCGGATTATCATCTTCCCACCATTCTTCAATAAGATTAATATCATTTGAATCATTTATTTCAGTATTATTTATATTTTGTCGATTTGAATGTGATCGATTATTAAAATCATTTCGTCGTTGATAATTATTATTAAAACCATATTGACGAGGATCATATGATGATAATGGAAATTGATGTTTATCATGATGATATGTTCGTTGTTTTGTTGATCGTCGTTTTTGATATGATGTTCCCCAATAATTATTATTATTATTGATATTATCATTGCGATATGATGATTCGTTTGTATTCATATATGCAGCAAGTGGTAGGCTACTATTATTATTATTATATCGTTGATAGCGCGTGTTATTATTATTATTATTATTATTATTATTATGGTTGTTTGATGGACGAAAACAATTTGCATTTGATTGTTGTTGAGATGAAAAATCATAAAATGATTGTGGACGTGATTGAAAACGATTATCATTCGACATTAAAGAAGAATTATATAAACGTTCAAAATCACCAGACATTGGCCTTTGTTTAGAATATTTATTGTCTTGATCTGAATTTTTTAAACGACGAAATCGTGGTGGTAAATCAACGGACGAATCTTCTTGTTCTTGATGAAGATGAGAGTTTGAAGTTGATAGAGTTGATAATTGTGTTGGAAGAGGAGGAGGAGGAGGAAGAGGATGGGGTGGTAATGGTGGTTGAAAAATGGAAGTTGATTGAAAATGAGATGGATGATGAAATTGATGACGATTCGAATTTTCAAATGTACGAGTTGGATAATATTGATGAAAATGTTGTTGTGATGGTTGTGAAGAAGGAAGACCAGTTGACAGAGGTGAAGATGGATGAGCAAAGTAAACAGGACCATTTCCATTGAATGTTGATGATTGAGCTGGAGATGGATAAACAAAATTATGAGAATAAACAGATTCTTAAAAAAAAAATTATAAGAAAAATACTTAGATTTATATAACAATAAAAAGATAAACAAAAACTTACGATCTATTTGTTCTCCACCATTATTAATAAAATGATCAATACCTGTATGATGTCCATTGATATTTGTAGGTAAAAGTTGTACGTGAATTGGAGGTGGTAGAGAACCATTTTGCCACATTGATATTTGTGGTATATCGAGATGAAACTCGGAAGCTTCTCCTGTATGACCATTAGTATGTATTCCAGATCGACGCATTCGTTCTATAAATAAATTGTTCAAAGTTGAAGTTTTTTTTTTTTTTGTATTGCATATGACGAAGAAATCAATAGTTTTACCTTCTCGTCGACGTTGTCCTTGGTCTTGAGTTCGTTGTTGTTGATTTAAACGTCCACTGCCCACACGAGTAGCTAAAAGTTAAACAAAAATTTACTTTTTCATATATTATAACTAAAAATAAGTTGGAAAAAAAAAGAAACGTAATCGGTGAGTATGTAGGCAAACGCACGAGAAATAAGAAATAAAAAAAAAAGAAAAAAAATCAGTCATGCAATTATCCGATTAGCTACAATCGTGTAAACCATTAACCTTCGATAAAATGATTTTTTTTTTCTTGCGAAAATGGTCAGAAAGAAATTGAGAGCACTAAAATAAAATCATTAGCCAAAAGACAATATGCTTACATATCGGGCGTTGCCTGTTGATTCTAATTAAATCGCTGGTCTATAACAGAGTGTATATTGGTGTGTCTCCATTCTATTGTCTACTACTGCTGATCATAGTAAAATATGTATTATATACATGCAATGTACATTGCACAGTAATTTCTCGCGTTTTTTTTCTCTCTCTTTCTTCTTTTCTTTTCGTCCATCGACAAAGACGGCAAAAACGTGCACATCGATCATCCAGGTATATCTACCATTTAACATCATATATATATATATATGTATCTATATATCATATATACATGCCTTATATTAAGTTTCAAGGCATTTAATCAGCTGATTTACAAGCATCTTCCATAGCATCATGCAATGTAAAGCGCAGACCATATGAAGGAAAATTCAAGATGATCAAAAAAAAAGAGTAGCAACTCATTTCATGAGTAATAAATAATCCATTACCTACCTTGATTGTTTACAATGACAATTTTTTTCGCGTGAGCCGGTTCGTCGGCATCTGTGCACAAAATTAATTGTACAACAATTTAAGGTTTTCATATAATTAAATAAAATAAATATTCTCGATTATTAAAAAAAAAAAAATGAGATTCTTTTCACTGAACTTTTATTTTTTTAATTAAATATTTAAAGAAGTATTTCACTTTACATATACTTTTGAAATAAAAAGATATTTATATCTTACCATAATTATCTTCTGTTCGATGATGAAATGGATATGCATATTCAAGTAATTCAGGACTGATTGAATTATTATTGTTATTATGTTGTTGTTGTTGATTTACAAGTTCTTGTGCTCGTTCATGTTTTAAACGATTGTAATCAACTCGTTGAGCACGCTGTGGTTGAATATCAATACGATCCTTGAATGAAATATAGAATTTTTATCAAATTAAAATGATTTCAAAATATTTACATTTTCAAATTTTCGTCTTATTGGTGCTCGATGCATTTGTTCATTTGGATTTCTCTGTTAATGGTATCAAATTTTGAAAGAAAAATGAAAAAGAAAAATACCTGAAAATTTTGTTGAATTGTTGCATTCCGTCCACGGGATTTTTTTCCCTAAAAAATGATGATCAGACAACGAGATAGACATGACATTTTTTTGTTTAACTTACACCCTTCATCTGTGTCTTGTCTTCTGAAGATTCAGTTTTAGTTCCTGTTGTTACACCTGATTGTTGAGCAAGCTGTCGATCTTCCTCGATTTCCTTCAATAAATACAAGCTTTAAATAAACATAAAAGAAAAAAGTGAATACATCTGTGAACTATATACTACGATTCTTTTTCCTTAGGTTGACACTTCTATGAAAACATACATTTAATACGCAACACACAACTTCAGAATGAATGAGTAACTGTAAAGTGGCGATAGGAAGAGAGACAGAGCGTAGAGAAAAACATTATTTCAGACACGTAGTCACGATCGCTACTGATGTACAATTTGCCGTAACAGCGTCTATTGAAACTTTATATCCCGTGTTCTGTACACATGTTTATTCCCTGTTAGAAGCGAAAGAAGACGACGAAAAAGAAAGGAATGAAACTGTCAAAAAAAAAAAAAAAAAAATCTCTCTCTCATTACAATGACATTCGAGAGCATGTTGAGTATAAAAGAGAAAGAGCAAACCTCTTAGCCAACACATATCAATCTTCGGAGCTCTCTTATTCTTTCTTCTCGTTCTTTCTCATTTTTTTGGCCTTTTTGTCGATTGCTTTTATACACGTTTCATATAAACAATTAGTATATACTCGAGTGCAAACCTGATGACGTTTCAATAATTCCAAGTTTTTGATGCGCATTTCAGCCATCTTTTGATCAATTGCCGAGATAGATGATATCCCGTCCATCGATGTTGTCTATTGAATAAATCGATGGATAAATTATCTGAAATAGTCAAGATCATTAAACATAGATATACTTACAATGAACAGCACATACATATATATACACAAAGAAGATCATTTATATGATTTATTGGACAAAAACTAAAGAACTATAGAAAAAGAAAAATAACGAGGCCACTCAAATGCGATGGGCCAATTTACCTTGTGAAAGAAGATGTATGCTTGAAATTTCTATTTCTATTCGATGTATATTAGTTACAGATGATTGAAAAATCGTTCTATTCATTGGCCTCACACGTTTTTTTCTACGGCTATTATTTGCTTGCTTGCCTCGGATACCATATATATATATGAGATATGACAATCAATTGTACAATTCAACGATATAAATGCGAGAATAATCGTTTTCTGATGTGCGCAGATGTATATTTAGCAAACGAACGACAACAAATAATTCAATAGCTATTGATATCTCAGTGAGTCTTACTTTCGTATTTCATAGCGATGATATTCAACCGTATAAATATATATGTATAAAAAGATGGGTAACATGAGAAAAAGAGAGAAGAAAGAAAAGAAAGTGCTATATCAGAATATCTACTATTAAGAGAAAGTGTGAAAAAAAACATGAGAAGAGTGTATTTATATCCTGTTTTTCTTTTGCATAATAAATAAATAACTTCAAGTCAACCATTGTAACTCACAACTTATTGTATCTTTATAATATCCTTGAAAGAAAAGATCAAATAAGATTTTTCTTTTTTTTTTATAATAAAATACATACTTAAATAAAAGAGAGTGATAGAGGAAGAATATATATGATAAACAAATATCTTTTATTGTTCTTATTTTGAAATACACTTCTATATTTAAAAAGAATAAATAATAAGCTACCGTTTGCACCTTTCTGAATAAACAAAACAGAAAAAGACAAAAATAAAGGTAAATTAGCCTATGCGTGTGTGGGTGGATGTGTATATCTCTGTACAAAATAAAATACAGTCGATTGAGTTGAAAAAGATTAAATATCACTATGAAATAGATGCTTCAAATCAAGATATAAAATATGATTAATCAAACATGACAACTTTACTTTGTTTAACAAAAGGTATTGTATTTATCAAGTTTACTTTTTTCTTTTCTAACACATATATATTATCAATTCTATTGTTAACGTTTGCTAACAATTTGAACTGAATCTTTAAAAAAATATTGATGCAAGTATTACGAATAAAAAAAAAAAAAAAAAAAAAAAAAAAATTTCTAATCAAAAATATTGTTTTATTCTAATATAAGTTCATAGTAGACATTATAATCAAATGTAAATCTATAATCAAATAAAGTATTAAGTGAATGTCAACGAATATAACATATTAATATATTTATTATTTTATCCTTAGGAAAAATTTTATATCATTGATACATACTTCAAAATCAAGTTATTTTATGAAAATAAACAATATCGACTATTGAAATAGATAGTATTAGTACATCTATCTAAAAAGAATATTGAATAAAAACAGATATTATTTAGTAATTTTTTTGTAAATGAACGTTAACATTAATGTATATTTATTATTGAGAAAAATTTATATAATGTAATAGTGAGAAACCTTCTATATAAAGTCGTTTGAATTAAAAAAACAAACAATATTAGTTAAGTAAATTCATTAAGTGTCTACTGTATTTTCCCTGTAAAATTTATATTGCTATTAAGTAGTAAACATTGGCTTGTGTTCAGGATCAAACCAAGCGTTCAGTAAACGATAATTATTCTTTTTTTCAAAATGTGATTTAACTAATTAGAATACGCAATTAACTTAATTACTTTTCTTTTGTTTACTTTATCAGAAAATTTCAAATTTTCCTTATGTCTTTCATTGGGTCGTTCTTAGACCAACTAATGTGTTTTTCAATAGATAGATATTATTCAATAGAATCAGATGTCGCACTGATAAAATAATGGATAATTACTTAAGTAAACTTGATCTTCACAATAGCAGATCCTTGATATTTTATGATGTCAAAGTGTACTGAATTGTTAAAGAAATCTTCTGTTGTGACCAATCTATATTCATAGTTTCTATTTAAAAGCATTTTTCAGAAAAGTAAAGTGATGATTGTAGATTCAATAAATGATTCTTAGAAAGATAGATATAAGATTGGTCAGAGTCTTTTAAGATTTTTGACCTGAAATCCTGAACATATTTGAATGTAGCTATAAAGGAGAAACAAACTGAGTGCTATGTTAGAAATCCTTATAACTCTTTAAGAATATGACTCATGACTGCAAGCGATTAAAAGTTATCGGAAATCATCAAAAGCCATGAGAAACCATGAAAGAGCACTTTAAAATATAGAAAATCTTCAATAATAAGATTACAAGTGACGCCCTGATTTCTACTGCTTTATATTTGTTTTCTTGACTGTCAATGATTGCCAATATTTTTAATAGTTGCTATTCCTATTGATTCGTGATGAACAAATAAAATTCATTTCATCCGAAATCAGAGAATTCAAGAAATCAGTTTTGTTCTCCCTTGGTAAATATCCTAATTAGAATTCTAATTTTGTAAAAAAATCAATTAACTAAGAAGATCTTCTATTATGTTCAACGAATTGTGCTTTCAAGATAACATCATATAAGCAGAGAGAGAGATTTATCATTCGATTTAGAATATTCTAATATATAACTTCATTGAAAGTATATAATTACAATAGAAGAGTTGATGAGTGAATCGCGTTTATTTAAAATCATTTGTAAAAGATATTTAAGAAAAATGGAAATGATCGTATTGATCTTGCATGTTATTTTATAAATTTTCAAATACGTATATTTATAAGATCTCTTTTTTGATTATAGCAAATAGCAATAGCTATGACAAGAACATTAATGATTATATATTAAAATAAGATGTCAAAATTTATCATCAATTTCGTTTGTAAATAAATGTGCATTTCGATAGCATGACTACTGAAACAATGAGCAATAGATTATAGTAGTATATTATTTATATGTCTAACATGCATATAGATTATATCAATAAAAATGACATTTAAAATCATCTGTTTTCTAGTTGTAGCATTTTGTTCATCCTTAGTATGCATGTGTTGCAGCCTAATAAAGCTTGTCTCAGTTGTCATCTGGTTCTTATTCAGATGCGAATATATTATCATCTTTCATAAATGTCAATTTACTATTTTATTAGACGAGATTCTCAAATGAATGATAAAATCGAACATATTTTATAAATAACAAATCAATCTTTAAATGTATAAATAGAATACTTTAAACAAAATTATTTTTTTATACTTAAGTATTGCCTATGGCGATAATAGTGTACTCAATAATTTTAAAAAAATTTACTAACGAACCTATTGAACTATTTTCCGATTGAAGTAAAACTATTCGACATTATTTCCTTATATTATTCATTGTTAGTAGTTTTTCTTTTTGTGAGTAATTACTATTCATTGAACTATGTTTTTGAATAATTTTAAAAACATAATTCACAAGAGAACATTTTCTGTAAATAACTGTTGAGACATGATTTGAATAAATAGAAGAAATTTAGACTAAAAGATTAAAAAAAAAAAAAAAAGAGATCAATAAATTCAACAATGAAAATTTCAATTCATTCAAATTCTTCAGTATTTCTTTAAAAGTTGAGACGTATGATTTATAAACAAGAATATATTCACACTGTTTTATAAAACATAGTGAATATTCATTCACGATTGAGAATATTTTTTTTTATAAATAATAAACGAGCAAAAAAAGGAAAAAAAAAAAAGATTTTAACGAAACAGAAAAGAAAAAAAAAACCTATCCGCAATACAGAAAAATAAACAACTGACATCACCGATTCATTATAGTTGTTGCTATAGGCATATGTTCATTCGAATCAATAATAACATTATTCATATTATTTCCTGTACTACGTCGATTATTTGTCCAATTATCAAATAAATGATAACCAGTACCTGATGGTTCCCAATCATCACTAGTTGATTCAAGTGAATAAGTAAATTGTCTTCGTCTTTGACGTTTTCGTTGCAAATAAACAAATGCAACTGCTATACTAACGGAACTAATAATTAATAAAAGTCCTAATATAATTATTGTTGTTACAATACCACCACGAATAGTTCGTTTCATTTTTGGTATAGTTAATCGAGACATTGATTCTATTGATGGAAATACAAAAATAAGAAAAATAAACAAGAGTTTTTTTTTTTTTTTCTTTCATACTTGAACAACCCAATTCATCTATGCCTTGTGGACATGAATGATAACCATCACAATGAAATATGTCATCTATGCACCATTGATCTTGACTACTTACTAAACAACGATATTGATTTGATATACATGGACCTATATGAAAAAAAAAAAAACAAGTTTTTGTTTGTTTTTCATAAAAATTAAACTTATTTACCTTTTGATATATTTGTTATTAAAATTTCAAATGATTGTATATTAAATTGACATAAACTAAGTATAAGAGGTAAATTAATAATATCTGTTTTAATAAATGTACGATTTAATAATAAATAATTAAATAATTCTATTGATTGCATTTGTTTATTAAATATTTGAAATGATGAACTTATTTCTGACATATTATTAATATTAATTATTATTTGTTCTGAACTATTAGATAAATATGATTTATCCAATGTTATATTACAACATGTTGTATAAGATAAAGAAGTTGGTGTGAAAAGAATTGATAAAGGATATGATATATTTATTGTTTGATTACAGAAAGACATAAATTGAACTAAAGAAAATTAATATTATAAAAAAAACTCCAATCACCTACTTATTCTTTTGTTAATTTACCTTGTTTCGAACTTGAACAGATATTTTGAATAAGTACTAGTAACCACCAGCACCATATTAGGATTATTTTAGAATTTGCCATTATTTGCAGATTAAATATATATATTGTTCAGTCATTCAATTGTGCGTTTTGACGAACTGAATAGCAAACAAAATTTCTTTTTCTCATTCGGATATGTATTGCAATCTATCTTGAATGCTGCTGCTTCTAGTTGATTGTCAAATCGGCTGCGCATGTTTCTCTCATTTTTTTTCCTCTTCGTTCTTTCTTTTTCTCGTTTCTTCCGACCTAAAGCAACAACTATAACATCGGGCAGATTCTTTCTCTATCGTCTTTTTTTTTTTTTTGTTTCGATGACGATGATTCAGCTTCGAAAATACGCGAGAAAGAGAGCGAGTGTGTGAGCAAAAGAGAAAAGAGAATAACAGAATATGGTTGTACGTGCTATGCTTTCACCTTCGACAGTTTCTCTATATTGTCGTTCTAACCATCATCATCAAATAGTAGCATTAAGATGGAACGAACGAACAAAAAAGAAGAAAAAAGAAGAAAAAAAAAGATGAGTCGTTCATAGAATAGAGAATGCCATTGACGAATGACTAGATGATAAGTAAAGACGAGATGTTAACAAGTGTAAAAAGAAAAGTAGAATAGAACGAATCAGTCAGATACATCTCTAATAGAAGTACAATAACAAACTCTTGATAAATTGATGTGTGTGTGTGTGTGTTCAGAAGATTAGATTGACCGATATAATCTACTATGTTCTTATATCACCTCTAATGCATAAACTAGATTTCCCCACGGAAAGAAAAATATTTAAACAAAGAAATCTTAATCTCTATTATATTAAAAAAACAAAGAAAAAAAAAGTATATGCCATTTGTATGGTTAGTTTCTTTCATAAATTATGTTTTAATCAATTAATTCTGAACTTTTGTCATTGGATCTCTTTTGTTTTTTTGCGTTTCTAATGAATACTTAATTATATGTGGTCAGAAAATCCAAATGCACACTTATAAAAATTGTTTCCTGCAGAAATTTAATCTCTCGTTCGATAGAAAGAAAAACAATGAAGAGTCATTCAGAATGAATTAAACAATAATTTATACTAGAAATTTTTATATTGTTACGAAAACTTGAAATATTCAATAGGATAAATAAAATTATCCAATGATCTTAATTAATTTATCATTAGAGAAAATAAAAATGATTGATTAGGAAATCGAACTCAATCTACACTTGACATAGACAAAAACTCGAGAGAATAATAATAAGAATAACAATAATAATAATACAGAAAATTTTCTATGATTTTCACAAGGATTACGTAAACAACAAATTCATCGATTTGGTTCGAATATGTTTTAAGAGTTTATATCGGAAAATATTTATTAACATGTTCTGTTGAATTTATGATTTATTATACAAATTTAAAAGATTAAATAAATTACAATCCATTTTCTTTTTTTTTTATTTAATTGTAAACATCAATGATTTTGACTGTAGTCAATAAAACTTACCCTGTTATTTCCGATATTTATTCTGTTTTTATTACATTAGTCACATATTTTCTGTTAAGTATTCCATAAAAAGGTCATGCTACATGTTTTTTTAATGTCGTTACAATATCTAGACATAATATTGAGTTGCACTTATTATTATACAATCATGTTTCAAGGATATTCGTAAAAATATTTTCTTTTTCTTTTCATTTAGTTATAGCAACAAATTATAATGTGAGAAAGATAGAAAAAGAAAATTTTATTATTAAATGTTGATTGTTTTACTCTATAAAAAATACGATAGAACTTTCCTCGAATGTTTTTCCCTTTTTCTATTTACTGACAATACTTGATAAAGAACAGAAATCAATAGAGATGAATGAACATTTGTATATAAAATGTTTTCATGTCTTTCAATAATAATTCGAATACCTCGTTTTAATATCAATGCAATGTGAAATGAGAAATTGGAATTTTCAATAATTTATGTCACAAAAATAATTCTTTCGACTAATTCATTGAGTCTTTAGTTCCTTGAAATTTATTGTTGCAGATAAAGACAGTAATCCTTATGAAATGCCGAATAGGAACATTAGTGTAATTATTAAAAGTGGCAAACACATTTCTTGAAAATTCTTTACAATCCTTTCTTTTGGTTTTTAGTTATGCTTAATAGCTCTTTACTGTCAAAACAAAATATACTCAATGACTTCTATCTTAATTTATTATTGGAGATTTCCTATCACGCAGTTATATTATCGAACGCAAGCATAAAAGAAAAGCTTCTCAATATATAGAAATCATAAGAAAATAGATCGCTTGCACATAATTAATGAGCACAACTATTTCATCGGGTATGATAAATTATGTTTT